GGCTGCCGTCCGCTCACACTCCGCCCCCGTGCGCCGGAAACGCGGTCCCGGGGCGGCCTGCGCCGGCGCGTTGGTTCCGAGGTCGCGCCGGCCGCGGCTGCCCTTCCCGCCAGTGCGGCTGCGCGGTAGGAGCTCTGCGGGTGGAGCAGGCTGCTGCGTAAATCCGGGTGAGCAGGGCTGTCCTGGAGGAGGCGCCAGACGCGCTGACGTGCTGGGCGTGTGAAAAGCGCGAAGTTTTAAAATAGTCTTGCTTTACCACAATTCTGTGACCTTATTTGCGAACAACACCCAATTCAAAAAAGAGTTTTAACAGGTCTAGGCCTCAACTTCTCAGATGTCCGGATTCTTATAACATGGAACCCGTTATGAATGTAATTAATAAAGCAGGACTGATTCTCTTCTGGGAGTGAGATTGTAGGTCCTCTAAACAACACCTTGGCCCGCGTAATCATTGGCGCTAGGGCAGGAGTGTCGCTTTGAATTCAAGGCGGTCAACTTGTAGTACCCAGCTGAACTGAATCAGCATGGTGGGGGTGTGGGAGGTCCACTTGAGGATTCCTTTAAAAAATTTTATTTTATTTTATTTTATTTATTTGGTACAGGGTCTCACTATGCAGCTCGGACCCGTAGCGATCCTCTTGTCTCCGCTTCCCCCGCGCTGGGATTACAGGGGTGTGCCACCACGCCCCGTTTCCGTGGCCTAGAGAGCATGCCCGGTCCTTGAATTTGCCAAGCGCGCGCCGAGGCGGCCGAGCTATCTCCCCAGCGCGTCTCCTGAGGATTCTTGTCAACAAAATGGTAAGAACTGGACAAGCTGTTAGGCGCCGTTGGTTCTCCGGGGCTGTGCTCCGGGAGGAGCTTGTCAAGCTGGCCATGTCATTATCAGAGGAGCGTGGGACATTACTATTGTTGAGGATGACTGTGGTACTTTTGGGGAGAGCTCTGTTACTTACTTTGGGTGTCACTTCCTGGTTCCAGTGCAGATTCCTCAGCCTGCTGGCACAGATCCTTCATCCCACTCGCACAGAATTTCTAGTTTCCTTTACTGATCCTTGGGCCTTCCCTGCGCAGATCCATGAAACAGACCTGCGTTGAGACCCTGTCAAGGGCTCCAGGCCTCCAGTTGGACTTGTGGGAGGTACTGTGATGCGCGCTAGGTCTCCAGCTGGATTCCTGCAGGACACTATCATGGGATCCAGCCCTTCAGCTGCATTCTTTGGGCCTTTAGTGTGTGGATAGATTTCCTGCGCTGTTTGTGGATGACTCTTTAGGTTACTGTTATAAAATAATCTTATATTGGACTAGGGTGATAGTTCAGTGGTCTAAGTGCCTGCCTGGAAAGTGCAAGGTGTTATAACCTGTGCAATTGATTCCAGTTTTGTAACTCTGCATACTTCCACTGTAACTTTATTAACTGTTATAATCTGACATATGCACCGCCATCTTGTTCTGTATGCGCCATCCTAAATGCTGTAACTTTCCACTGTGCCCCATTCTCTACTTGAGAACCTGCAGTTGGGCCTTTCTCATGCTGTCCTTTGTGCACACTTGAATCTAGTTCGGCCCAATTTCCTGATCTTGCCCTCGTTCCCAGCTACAAACTGTACCCACCACTGCACCTGTTATTGTTCATTAGAAACAGGTAATTTTTCAACTGTAGCCCCTGATGAGCCCTTGCTGTCAGCTTTTGTGGTTTATTGGCTTAAATACCCACTGCCCTCATCCTCCCGGTGTGCACCTCAGCATCTTGCCAGGGTGTCTGCCGCTGGGTACCAGCTAAAATAAAGCGCTTCTTTTCTTTTCGAGCCTGCCTCATTTTTGAGTTACAACACAAGGACCCGAGTTTGATTCCTATTACTACATGCCATGCCAGCCCCCAAGAACCTCGGGTGCGCTGGCACATACCTGTAATCCCAGCTCTGGGGAGGCTGAGACAGGAGGATCACTATGTGTCTGAACTACGTAGCAAGACCCTGTATCAAATAATAAATAAACATTAAAAAATAAAATCTTATAAATTAAGTGACCTGTATTGTTTTGTTCCCCTTGCAATTTCTGACAACAGGGTCCAAATTCAATTTTCTACATGTGGATAGCCAGTTTTTTCAGCACCATTTGTTAAAGAGACAGTGTTTCTTCCAGAATGTTTTTCGTCACTTTATCAAAGATACCTGAATGTACACGGAGTTGTTTCTGTATCCTGTGCTTTGTTCCACTGATCAGTGTGTGTGTTGCCAATACTGTGCTGTTTTTAGCTTTGTAGGATAATTTGAAGTCAGGTATTATGACACTCTTGTTGCCTAGGATTGCTTTTGCTATACTGGCTCTCTTCTAGTTCCATATGAGTTTTAAGAGTGTTTCCTCTAGTTCTGCAAGGAATGCTGTATGTACAGTATTTTGATTGGGGTTGCATTAAACCTGTATGTCAGTTTTGGAAGTATGGACATTTTAGTGGTTCTGTGGCTCCAGAACAGGGATTATATTTTAATTTTCTGGGGTCCTTTTCAATCTTCTTTTTAAAAAATAGTTTCCTTATAGAGGTCTTTCATTTCCTTTGTTAGGTTTATCCCTAAGTACTTAATTTTCTTGAGGCATTATGAGTGGTATTATTTTCTTAATTCTTTTCATAGTGAGTTTATTGTTTGTCTACAGGAAGGCTACTGAGTTTTGTGACTTGCTTTTTGTATTCTGGTACCTTGCTTAATTTATTAGTTCTAGGTATCTTTTGGTGGAATTTTTTGGATGTACTTTGTAAAAGATCATATTGCCTGTGAATAAGAATTCTTTGACTTATTCCTTTCTTACATTTTTATCACTTTTATTTTTCTTGCCTGATTATTCTGACTTAAGTTTCAAGTTGAACAAGAGTGGTAAGAATGGAAATCTTTATCTTATTCCTGGTTTTAGAGGAAATGCTTTTAGTTGGCAGATTTGTCATGAATGTCCCTTATGAGATTGAGATAAGGTCATTCTATACTTACTTTCTTCAGTGGGTTTTTTTATCATGAATTATCGTTGGATTATGTCAAAAGTCTTTTCTTCATCTATTGGTCATGTTATTTTTGTTCTTGCTTTGGTGTAAGTAATTATTGATTCGCATATATTCAGTCATCTCTGTATGTCTGGGATGAATGGATGAATACTTGGTCAAAATATATGATCTTTTTATGATTTGTTGCATTCTGTCTGCAAGTATCTTTTTTTTGTATGAATAGGATTAATTTTATTTGTATTCCATATTGATTAATACATATTTGTCCATTTATTTTTTCACACTATTTTTTTTTTAATTTATTTATTTATGTGTGTGGCCAGCTCAGCCCACCAGGGGGCGCGGCTGGCTGGCATGTGGTGCTGGGGGATTGAACCGCGGTCCCTGTGATTTGCTAAGCTTGTTCTAAGTAGGTGCTTTAGACCACTGAGCCATCTCACCAGCCCCGCTGTTTT